CTTATGATAGGAGTAGGTTTATTTGTGCCACAGCTTACAGAATCCAGCGAGGTTTTGATAAGTTGAAGTTGCTCAAAATCTTGATCCGAATCAGCTACATTGTCTCTAAAATGTTGTAAAAGAGCAACTGTCGGCGGTCTCTTACGCCAGCTATAGTAGTCCATAAAAGGTCCCTGTTGTTCGAGATAGAACAGCTCTAAAACGTGGTCAACGTACATTTCTCGGCGCCTTTGATATTCTTTCTCAAGGTACTCTAAAATAGTTGTTTCATCATACTTATTGGCATCTTTGTTGATCAGCGAATGATTAGCTGGTATCATTTTTCGCAGCTCAATTTAGTCAGAAGATAATTTTCAACTTATAAAATATATCAATTGGAAGAAAAAAAAGATGATTTAGATTGAAATAAATAAAACAGATTAATTTACTCCTTGTTCATTGCTAACAAATGAATCGCACAATTCTCAAAATGGCGGACAACTTCCTATGAAAGGCAACATCCTGTTCAACAATTAAGCAAAAAATCGCTTATACCGCCATCTGGTGTACAACAAATCTACAAAGTAGAAACACGTTTTTCTTCAGGATAAATCTAAAAGTAAAATATCCTTTTACGATTCAAACAACTCATTTTAGGCATCAAAATTCAATGAAATTAAGCCAATTAAATGGTCATTTTGTCAAATGGGCAACACGGTAATATCTTATTGGAAGACACAAGTAGATGGACACTGTTATCGGTACAGAAAATTCAGGAATCATAGTTGATGATCAATAGTTACAAGAAAGGACAAATAACTAATCATTAAGAGTTAAGAGTTAACACATTTAAAGACAATTAAGAGTTGATCCATTTGTTAAACGTTTATCACAAAGAATAGGAAACACAATGATAAAGGAAACAGAGAGTCAACTTCCGATGTATATGAAAGAACTGAAAATTGTGCTTGAAATTTATAGCTTTTTTCCCTGCTTTCCTCTCTCCTCAAATTATAAACACCTAGATGGCGACTCATATCCTGTATAATGATTCCTTATTTTAATTCAGTTTTTAACACAATTTTTGTATTTTATTATCTTTTAATTAACATATTAATATCCATTAAATGATTAAAACAAAAAGCTTATTCTCCCACTTTATTTGTGCATTACAAGCAAGCAAAAAGCGAATATTAAATGTGCTAAAATCATATTGAAAAGCAATAATTCAATAAATCAACTCGGTAGTTAATGTTAAGAAATCTGAGAAAATTTTCCTCTCTTTGATTGTCTTGATTTCAATTTTTCAATCCTTAGTCTTGAGTCTTGATCCGATCTCGATTAACCTAACTATTAAAATGTTTGATCAAATCAATATTTCTAATCATAAGCCATTTCCAGCTTTGAAAGGCTACAATTTTGTAATAATCAATCGTAACCAGAATCTGGTTTCATTAAGAGCATCAAAAGTAAATGTTATTTTTATGGGCTAATGAGTTTAATCATTGATGAAGAGACAATTTAGAGACAAGAAAATGAAATTAAAGTGATTTTAATCATTTTGTACAATCATTTGAATTACAACGCAATAAAACAAAATCAATAAATAAGTAATTGTATTACAAGTATTGTTAAGTGAATCAGTTATACCAGTAACTAAACAATCCCTAAGACAACACAATGAGATTGAACGGTTATTATGTTGAGTTAAATGTGTGTTTGTTGACGAGCAAAAGATGGAAGGGAAAAAAGGAGTTTTAATTACAAAGCTAATTAATTAACCTTGATTAACTCTTGGAGTGAGTTGAACCTTCAACAGTTGATCCATTGCCAGATACATGAATCAGCAAACAATCTGGAAATTCATGAAACTGTTCAAACAACAACTCAACACTGGCTTTTCAATTAACAAAATAAAACCTTTTCATTTCAATTCCTTTGTTTGTCTCGGGTTCAACCAAAAACATTTTCACCGGTTTACAGTCTTTTTGGGTATTTAATGTGTTCAAAAGTGTCCATTCAATTGTAATGGAATCACAGGATAAAAGCAAAGATGAGGATAAATTCAATTCCATCACCATCGATGTAAATGAAACCAATAAGGTTTTGAATAAGGTTTGTGTCAATTGTTTTAAACCAACAAATAGCTTTTTCTTTCAACTTTTTGTGAAAAATGTTTATTCAGTTGATCGAGATAGTTGACAATTTACACTCTAAATGGACGTTTTAATGAACATTTATCCAAATTTTTCAGGAAACTTCATCTGATGTAAAAAGCTTCACCCGAAAGTCAAAGTACAAAAAATCATCTTACATTGAGAATCGACATTTACGTGAAAAAAGAAGGCCTACAAAATTTGCAATTGTTCAGGTAATGAAACAGTTCCAATCAATAAATTACATCGAAGAATTAAATCTAATTTTCTCTTTAGATTGACGAGAATGAAAATTGCTTGGAACCAACAATTGATTTGGATCCGACAACAATCAGCCAAGAAATCGCCAAATTTACCAAAGTAAGATCATTTTCCTTCCAAAATTCAATGACAATTCAAACAAACGCCTGAAATGATCGAGAAAAGTTCAGCTTTGAAAAATGCTTTCGTCTGAAATGTCGACTCGTTAAGAATCAAAATTAAGGCTAAATTGTTCAAATTGTGTTTTCTTTCAATCAAAGTTTTCTTAGACTTTACAAGGAAATTTTCAGATCGATTGAAACATGAGCTTTTCTTTAAAATGATGAGATCAGATCGAGATCGACATGAAAATTTTGCTTAAGAATGAGAATCTTGAGAATAAGAATTTGGTGAAAACCAGAATTTAAATTAGGAGACATTTCACTGAAATGGTGAAAAGATCAATATAATTTTATAAGCTTTTTGATTACGTTTTGTCAGTTTCCACGGCATCAACTGAACAGGTGATCAATGAATGGGTTAATTGCTTGAATTGTTGCCATCGCAATAACATTGAGTTTCAACGGCTTTTGCCTAATCATTTTCGCTGTTTCATTGTTTACAGATTTTCACGGCTACAACTACACAGGCCAACTAATTGGATGACAATTGTAATTGCAATAAAATAAAGTATTGTAACCTTGTTGGACAGCGTTTTAACCATAAATGGAAACAAAGTGTTTACATGAGATTTGTTTTTGCTAATAAAGATGAAATTCACAATTGTTACTAAAAAGACTTTGAGAAATTAATTTATTTCAGATTTGAACTCTGTTGATTTGTAGAGACATCAAAACTGAGTCCGTTTGTGCGGTTTAAAAGTTTCTCTGATAAACAGTTTTCGAAAAAAACGAAGTCAAATCTGAAACTTCAATAGCCTTTAATACAGTTAAAGATGCAGATTTTCTTATTAAACTTATTCACCTGATAAAGCTTTTGATATTCAATCAGAAAATAAACTTATTTTTAGAAACAAAAGTTTACGTTTTCTTTAAAAACGATAAGTTCGATTTTTATTCAAACCGACTTATTTCGGAGACAATCAGAGTTAAAGAGCTGAAACTTCTTTCCCGCCATAAAAATTGTTAGCTCAATCCATGGACCGAGTACTTTTTCCAACTTATAGACAGTTCTCTTGATTTCGGTCATTGGTCTTAGAACTTTGAGCTTCGATATTTCGAGAATAGTGGCACCTACAGGCATCATTCTTACAACAATTTAATCTTATACTAATAAATACTACAGTTCAATTTAAAAACTCGGCATTAGTGCATGTGGGTCTTGAGTTTTGGGTTGTTAATGAGCGAGCAACAGCTTATTTAACAAAACAAACTCATCTCAACCCAAATCCAAATAAATGAAGCAATTTTCCGGTTAGGATTCCAAATGCAATGCAAAGATCACTGCCAAAGGCTCCAACATTTGAGCTAAGAGTTTAGACTTGGTGCGTTTGTAGAGACACTTAACATGAATCCATCTGTGCGAATAAAAAGTTTCTCAGATCGATAGTTTTCGAAAAAATCGCCGTAAAAGTTTGAACTTTGATCGTCTTTTGTATGGTTATGAGAGCAGACTCTTTCATAAAACTCATATTGCTGATGAAGCTTTTGATTGTCAATCAGAAGGTTTACTTTTTTCGGGCTATAAAACTTTCCGTTTTGTGTAAACCGCTAAGTTCGATTTTGATCCAAACCGAATTATTCAGGAGACCATGCGAGTCAGCAAGTTGAAACTTCTTATATGTC